GGACAATACTGTATACAGGGACCTCAAGGTGAGTGGTATATCGGGACCTCAAGGTGAGTGGTATACCGCGAGGACAATACTGTATACAGGGACCTCAAGGTGAGTGGTATATCGGGGACCTCAAGGTGAGTGGTATACCGCGAGGACAATACTGTATAAGGCACCTCTAGATTTGTGTTTGTGTACAATATCGCTTGTTCACTTCCATCTGACCGGTTAAAAAAAGTTCTGTCTCATTTATTAATTTATGCACGCCCATGAAACTTTAGCCTGGCACTTCTGCAAGCCAGTGACCAAACAAAAATAAAAATATTAAAAAATCTTGATCCAGTAATAAAAAAGTTTTTCTCTTTGGGCCCTATATTTAAAAAATCTGCTCTTTGGATGCATACCCCCCCCCGGGACGGCGCTACTGACTGAAGTGTCTGTAGGCCGTTCCCAAAGGGGGGACATTAACCATGTTCTTATGCACAATAGAAATGTTATTGTAAATGGGCTAATTCACCGATGTCATGCTTATAACTGTGCCTGATCTACAACAGGGAACTGCTGCTTTTTCTTTCCTAATCCTTACTATTGTCATTTTTCCTCTTTTTTTGTAACTCTTGTGACCCGCTATTTCCGGGGTGCCTTGATAGTCGAAGCAAACTTTGTACTGTTGGAGCTAGAGAGGTGAGCATAGTAAGCCTGATTCCCTATAAGGACTTCTCTTTTGACACCCAGCCCTTGGCGCTTAAATGACCTGATGCTGTTGCGAGTGCCGAAAAACCTCTACTAAAACAAAAAACGGATGCCTACTGAGAATCACTGACATAAATGACTTACAGTAACCTGGCCTACAAATTGCTCATTTTGAGACTGAAACAACACCCCGCCCCCTCATTTCTGTGGAAACTTGTAAATTTTATCTCCTGGCTGTCTATATGTCTGCGTGTGCTTCACGTGAGTCTCGAAAATTACTCACCTCGTCCTTTAAATTGTGTTTCTTGGAGCGTACTTTAGAGTGTGGTGTTGAGGGAATGTATGGCAACTGTTTGATGTGTAAGATGTATGCTCACTGTAAATCCCCTATGATTGTATGTTTGTGTGTGTGTAGTAACCGTTGGTGTGTGTGTCCCCAGCTGGAGAATCTGCTGCTGGACAAGGAGGGCCACATCAAGATCGCAGACTTTGGCCTGTGTAAGGAGGAGATGTTCTTTGGGGCCAGCACCAACACATTTTGTGGGACGCCAGAGTATCTGGCGCCAGAGGTGGGTGATGGTGGTGATGGTGGGGATGTTTGTCATTGTCACTACTGTAGAACGCGGCTATAGCACGACTTTTGGTTTCTGAAGGAAAATCCCGCTGGAGCAAGTTCCTGTGTTTGGAATGCAAAGGGGAATTACCAGAAAAGTTTTAAAATCCACATAATTACTTCCCTTCCATATCAATAATATTTGTGCTTTAGATAAGTCTTCCAGTCTTCCTTTTCTTGTCAACTTGGTTGATTGTCTTGGCCTTTAATTCAAGTGTGAAGCTTTCCTTTTGTCTTTGTTGGAAGCCATCTTTTTGTCTGTGTGGATATCTGTGTGTTTGTCTGTGTGGTGTAGGTCCTAGAAGACAATGACTACGGGTGTGCAGTAGACTGGATGGGTGGTTGGCGGATGCTCTGGTGTGGTTTGCTTTTTCTTTCCTATCAAACATCTATCGTCTTTATCTCCCCTCCTTTTTTGTTTGTTACTCTCCTGTA